TTGCGTACGATCCAACACCTTCGTCAGTGGAGATAATATGACAATTTTGACTTCGACTGTGTTCCAACAGACTCAAATGTTTTTAATTTCGTAAATTCTGGTGGTACGTAATTAATATTGTAATAAAATGTGCATATTTTTGTGATCATTTCTGTTCCTTCATTGTGAAAATTAATGACGACTCAACTAATTTCGTAATTTGATTTCCCTCAAAGACGTAATCTGTCACTTGATGAATAACATTTTTCATTTGCACTATTTTTCGAGGGGGGTGCTCGGGTAAGCGCACACCCCTAAAAAATCGTGATTTTCTGAGTTGAGGCCCTTGGGCGCTAACGCGGTCGAGTACGATATTTTGATCTTAGATTTACAAAGATGTCACTTTGACCACAGATTCACACTTGTCAGTTATGCAAGTGCATGGCTTCTAAAGTGAGCAAATATAGTTTCTTGACCATAAATAAACCTCTGTCATTGATGCTCTTAAATTTAATTTAGCAAAGTCTTATTGGGACAGCGCCCTCAGTGACAAACTTAAACTCTAAATTTACAGAGAAACTGAATTTCATCATGACTTTTGTACCATTGTCAATTTTATACTCACCATGTTTTGTTATAAATGCCACAATTTTAACAATAACATGCGGAATCTGAACTTCACCATTAACCTTCCTGCAAACATCTTCAAGAGGGACACCAAATGTCTTGTTGGTGACTTTTTTTTTATTAAGAGGAGAACTGAGTATTTTCATCATCTTTTCTTCCTCTTTCTTACTCACCTCGGGGCCCTGTAACAAAACACAGTTATTATCCAGTTTATCAATGCCAGAGCATTGCACAAAGAAGAAAGGGGTAAGAAATGATATCAATACCAGTGTATTTTATGAGGGGGAAAAGGCCAGACAAGATATCAGTGCCAGAGTACTGTAAAAGGGTTAATTATTCACTGGGTTTTAATTTGGCTTATTTCGCTGACTGGAAAATGGGCTAAATTAAAACCCAGTGATATGTAAAATTTAGCATAGAACACATTACCTAAATGATAAAACTGTGAATTTGAAGCCCGCTGAATATGCCTGGAATGGTAAATCAGCGAAATTTAAACCCAGTAAAAATTAATCATTTTACAGTATTATACATGGAGAAGGAGCAAAACAAGATATGATTTCAACACCACCGTATTGTAACGAGGGAGAAAGAGGCAACACAAGATACAATATTAACCACAGAGGGTACAGTATGAAGAAATAAGTCAGACAAGACATGATATCGACATTAGATATGATATCGATGCTAGAGTACTGTACTAGGAAGAAAGGAGCAAAACAAACATCATACGATATCATCCCCAGAGTGTATAGTATGAGGAAAGGAGTCAGAGAAGACAAGATATCAATGCCAAAGACAATTGTATGAAAAGCCAGACATATGCATAACAGTGTTCTCTCAAGAAAATAATGCCCAATCATCACAACTACCGGTAATTTGCAAATAAAAGAGATACTGATTGATAATTTTGTTTCCCAAAGAATCCAAGCATCTAACCATCATGTTTGAAAGGCTAGGATCACAATACTGTTAAACTATATGTGTATTCAGTATGGAAAACTACAAAAGTGACAATGACAATGTTTCACAATGTTTTGAAAATACATATTACTATTTTTTACTCTATTAGTACATACAGCATATGTGCTTATGTAAATGTTAGTGGCATGTCCACGGGCATAATCAGTTAGGGATTACAAAGCTACTAATATCACAGAAAAACCATGTGACGTCAGCAGTGGATTTACAGTGGTTGACATTTCGTAACTGTCGTAGTCTGTCAGCTGTGTTACTAATGTGAACTCCCTGGACTGATGGGGACTGACTCTCATAACAAAGCAATGCAGGTTTGAATCGATAATGATCAAGAGGCATTGGTTAGTTGTGTACGGCTGTTGATTTTAGCTGGTTACGGACTGTTTTCTCGTTATCCACACATTTTCACAAGCCCAAATACCTCTCAATAGACTCTATATAGTGAGTTCTAACAACATTATGAAGGCTGAATGCCACTTTAATGATACAATAAATGTAATTTTTGATTTCTATTAGTAGAAAATATGGTATTGACATATGTAACCCAATATCAGTGTTCATGGTAAAAAAGTGATTAAACACATGCGACGTACTGTAGAATACTTTATTTTCGCTGAAAAGACTTTTTGGGTGTTTTGTATAGAAAAATACATAAAAAAGTACAAAATATTACAAACAATTTTTCGACAAGAAAAAAAAACATGGCATTCAAAGAGTTAATCATTGATAGTATATTGATGATCCTTTGTTAGCATTTTACTTTGATTAAAATACAAAAAAAAAAAATTTGTTTTTCATGTTGAGGACTTTGCTATCAACTTTAAGTGTCCATCACGATGTCTCTGAGACACATGTAACGTGTACTACTGAAGACCATTTGTCACAAATTTAAGCACAGTGTGACACTAGACCCTGGGCATTAAATCAAAACCATAGTTACCTGGATGGCAGTCAATTTAACTTATTACCAGCTTGCATTGTATTCCCGATTTATAACAAGCAGTGAATTTAAGTATAATTTCATTAAGAGAAAACAAATCACTATGAGATACGTATGAACACTATCACTGAACGTAACATAGCATAATTTTACACTGACACAACCTGATTTATACATGTACATGAAGTCATGCAGTTCGTTGCATTATCTTTAATGACATGGAAGCCAATTACTACACATATTATGCAAGACACTAGAGTAAATGAAATTAAAATAGGTACATTGTATGCGTATCAATTGTTACCAAAGGCCAGACATAATTAACCATGATTACCGTGAAATCCAAAGACATGTGAGCCAATATCAGAGAAAAATAAACCCAAGCTGCAAGCTTTAACAGATATAAGATACAAGTATCCTAGTTCCTGCACTTACTTATGTATGATACACAATATAGTTACAACAAACACACACCAGTCACTTGAAAATAACCGTTATATTATTAAATACATCAGTATTTTGACACAAGATTAGAATATAATCAATCGCTGACTTGCATTGAATTGATACATTTATCAAAGTACTCCTATCGATGTTATTTCATGATGTGCGAACAAAATAATTGACAAAATATGGCACATTGAAGATCAATAAATGCCAGACGCAATAAAACCCACTACCTACTTGTAGCAATATAAATCAAGACACAAACCAGACACAGATGCTTCACACGGTACATCACCTGCAGATTTGACTTCAGATCCAAGCAGGGCTTCCGTAACTATTGTTAAAAAACACCTCCTTCTAAGCAAGCTATTCATTGAACACAGTTGCCATGGCAACAAAGCCATTCATTTTCACAACGCTCGGAGAATTACAATCAGATGTATCAATCTAACAGAATGAACATGTGAAGACAGTAAACAAGCCGAGGGATAACAGTAAGATGGTTCAAGTCTAAAAGTTGAGGAAAATGAGTGATGTAATACAAGTCTACATATTTTCTCAACAACGAAAAAATTACATTTTATGTAAATCAGCTGGAGTACTATATTCAACACAAGCATTTTCACAGCATAAGACTAATAGGTTAAGTAATACCGATCGTAAATTACCATGACAAAGGAATGAATGCAGCATCATTTATTTTTAAATTAGGCTGTTATGCTTGTTTGTTGGTGTGTCAAATTTGGCATATATATCCAAAGCCAAGTGATTTAATATATAAATAATTCAAAGATTTAAGACAATCACTTTTTCTAACCGAAATTTTAGGATTCCAAACATCTTTCCAGAGCACAAAAAAAGAACTAAGGCATTTACAATTCCCATGGTGGTTTTATTTGTGTATATCTAGTCATAACACAAAAATAGCCAAAGTATGTGGGAAATGGCGAGTCAATAATATTAGAGATTGGATGAATGGTTATTATTATGTGAGGTTCCAAATATATCAGTTTCTCTTTGTCACAATAGAGGTTACTATCAGCCAAATAAAAAAATAAATGCAAGATATTTATAGAATGTTGATTGAAGGCTGATGTCCTGAGTTTGGGTGTAACCAGCAATATGTGTCAATAGCAATTAGTTCCACTCACTAAATTCCTTGCCACATTTACATGATCTGTTGTTATTGTGTAAATTTTACAAATGCTGACCATAATTAACTACTGTAGAATCATTTGTAGTGTTTTACTTCGTATTATATTTCACTTCAGACCAATCAAAATCAATTCTGTTGATTTGATCAGACAACGAAAACATATAAACACACACAAATATATAATGTTCTATATTATTTTGTTTGCTCTAAACCAATTTTACAGCAAATTACTAATGTTTGTTTCAAATACACCAAACTAGCACTGATGTGGACATAACGTAGAATAATCTTTTCCTTTACTTTTCGGCACATTATATTGCATAGACATACCGTAATAGTATTTTCTTTTGATCTATTCTGTCCCACAGCAGACTCATTGTGCATTTCAATGTAGGGTTTTCACATTAGTATTTCAAGCACTCGCACTTAACTTGACATTAGGAATAAATTGCTTTTCAACAATAAAATCAGTCAGTTTCACACTTCATAAACACAACCTGATCACTCATTTCATAGATGACAGGCCAAGGGTGTCGAGAGGTTAATGACCTCAAATGCAGTCACCACTGATCAATGAAGACAGTAGGACATTACAAACACAAAAAATCAGAACTGCCGGTAATTGTATGGCTGAAATATTGCTTTATGTAAGTACTGCAATCTGATGAAGCTGTGATATGGAATTTTTTTTTTTTTTAATTTCATATATTTCATTTTGACCTATTTTTCCATTTTGTTGTTGTTTAATTACTTGTACCTTATTTTGTGCTATTTTAACTTGTAAGCTTTCATTATCACCAAAATTTGCAAAAAAACGTCCGGCGAATTTGTAATAAAATAAGATAAGAAAAGGGTAAACAAAAAAAAAAATAATAAAAAAAAGCCTCAAGGGTATATGCTGCAATTATTAGATGGAATGGTACAAATTGTAGAATCAAGGATGGTTGGACTAGATAGTAGATACACAGAATTGATTTATTTCACACAGCTATAGGTGAAGGTCAGGGGTCAATGAGATATGAACTCATTTGCATAATGCATATTCTACATCCTCCCTTTCTAGATAAACCAAAATTGTGAATATAAAATTTTTCAAGTTCAGTTCATATTTGTTAAAGCTCATTTTACACATAAAAATGTCCCTTTTTTCCATAATTTAAATAACAAGCAACAACAATTAATTTCAGTGTCTCAATTCTTGTTGCAAATGCCCCACTTTCTAATTACATTTTTTTGTTGGTGACATAACGTATAATCACATTCATACAAATTGTTTGTAGACATGGACTGTATAGCCGTATGGATATTAATAGTACCAGTACCAGTAACATGAACATTTAATTTAATTTCCAACAACAGAATGTCACATTCATTGGGAATCATATGCTCAGCATTGAAGGAATTTGGCGAGAAGCACCTTGGTTGGACAAAACAAAACTACGGTATATATATATATATCTCAACCCTTAACCCATCACGCACACCAGTGACAAAATGATCAGTGCAATTTGTTCTGATTCATTCATTTATACATTCAACGAATGAAAGCTAACCCGAGTTAATTATTTAACATTTTTTAATTTTTCCAAATTTTATAGCTACCGGTATATGAATCAGTCATTTTATGCAGGTGCCTAGAAAAATCACAACTAAGATAAAATTAACAATTACAGAGATGGAGTTCATTACCATATAAGGTGAATGACTGCTAGGTCAATCCATAGAAAGTCAAGGCTGGACAACTGTAATATAAATATAACCTTTTCACCACTAGACTTTCTCACTCAAATTTTTCTGCACTTTTTTCTTACATTCTTCCATTTTTCTGGAAATGAACCCTAATTTTGGAGCCAACAGATAGAATTTGAGTCAATTTTCACACAAATAGCTATTTTTGTCCCAATCATCGGAAGGAAAGTCAGACTATGAGCGGGACTATTTTGTGAATTTGTAGTGGACCAACACACCCTGTTCTTTTATGACAATCAAAACACTGAAATAGCATTTGTTTCACATTTTGACCTCTTAGGTACTAAATATGAACATGCATGTTTGTCTGATAGTTATTTTTAACTCCTCTGTCGCTGAAGATGGCAGTGCATGCTGGCCTTTCACCTAATATTTTGTGTTGTTCATCACAAAATGGTAGTTTTCAGATCTCTATCGCTTCTATTGTTGTGCTCAGTCATTTCACTGCACTATATACGTAAAGTTTTGATCTTCTGTTGATATTGTAATGACGTCCCGTCCAACCCCTTTTCAGTCGCTTTCTCTGCAATCACAACATATACTCTAGCATCTCTAGATGTTCTGTCCATTATTCTTTGAATATTTGATTCTCTCCAGTAATCTCGTTTCTTGGTCTGACCAGTTTGACTTTCGACATGTAACCTCTGACGCCATCTTGTGTAATGACAAGCATAAATGAGTCGGCGATAGAGGGCGTTTGGCCGCTGTATTGTGTTCACACGGCACATTGCGTTGTGCAAGAGCCGGTATGACAACGGCGTTTAGGATCTGGTCCACTTCTTTTTCAACAATTTAAAAAGCGCCAACGTCACAATGGTGTATTCTGCTCACACACACATTTTAACAACGTTCTCAAATAAAAGGTGTTGTGTGTGACAACAGATTATTTCGTCTATTGAGAACACCACTTATAACTTTGGCTCAATTCCTTTGACACTGACAGTAACGCATTCAAATATTTGTTTCTGCCCCAGTGATTAAATGAAATAAATGTCCCAGATGTCATCGCGGTAATTGCAATATCACCCATGAGCAGAAACTATCCCC